TATCACCTTGAAACTTGGTAGGCTTTGTGGCCTCACCAGGCGCTACCACCCCTGCAGCTTTCACCCCCCAATGGTATAACACATAGATGTAACATGAGTTTTGCTTTCAGGATTTTGGAGTGCAGTTCCTCCCAACCCCCTGCATCGCTTTTCTTGAAACTTGACAGGCTTCATGCTCTCTGTAGGGGCTACCATCCCTGCAAGTTTCATCCAAATCAGACAAAAAACAACAAAGTTATAGGTATTTCATTGATTCCTCATTATACCCTATGGCCAGATCTCTGAGGCGGCTCCGAAGTTTTCCAAAGAGGTTCAGAAGCTCTGAACCGCTTTGGAAGGCCTAACGAATCCAGCGCTTCGATCTGGACATGCTGCTTTGGACACCAAAGCTTCCAAAGCTTCTCCAGATCCGAAGCACAGTCTGAAGCCTCGCGTAGCCCTAATATCCAGCCTTTGCTGCCTCGGCAATTCTGACAGGAAACGTGAATCACAGGGCAACTTTCCAAGAATGCATTTCCAGTTGGACTTCAGTGAAACGTGTTGAACCATATTGAAAGTAATGCATATTTTAGAGATATTTGCAAAGAGTCAGAGTACACAATTATGAATGTATATCTTAGTTTTTGCTATTGTATAACAACAAATCCAAGGCAGAAAACTTTTTATAGTAGAAGAATAAATACCTTGTTTCCTCTCCAGGGAAGGAAGAAACAGAACATATTTCTCCTCTTTCTGGGACATTTATATTGTAATCAAAACTCCCCCCTACCTATTATAATCCCCCTTTAAAACGAAACAATGTTTCATCTCCCTGTTTCTGGACATGGAACAGTGGAAGTGACAGGTTTTTAACTTGTTGAGGAGTTCGAGTTTCACGCTTCCACAAGATGGCCCCTGGTGGTAATGTCACACTAAATACTGACTACCCAGTTTTTCTTTTAAGGTTATATTCCAGTAAATGACATGTGAGCTTAAGGCCAGATCCAGAAAAGGATTTGACCTGTGCAGGTGACAAATGCAACCTAAACCCAAGTGAACAATCCACAAAAACCAGGTGTGCCTACTTCGTGTTTGGGAAGTGGTAGCTACCTAAGTTTTCACCAGCGCAGTTGCGTAAGGGTTTACTAACATCTTTGTCTAGTATCAGCACCATCTTGACAATACTGTGCATTTTGGAATCTGTTTTCACCTATGGTCCCTTGGGATTATCTAAGTAGGCATGCCTGTGCCCAAATCCCAGTTAGGTGGCTTTTTGTTGATCCCTTGCTGTTCCCAAAGCACATGATATTCCTGCAGGGGGGGAGGGGAGTATGCGCATGCCCGCACACGAGAAAGGAGAATATATTAAAAAATAAATAATCCTGGCATTGCCCAATGCTGTCACTGCCCTGTGATCCCAGCCTGGCCCTGCCTACCTTTCATGTTCCCAGATGCTGCTCCCCCCCTGCCTGGCCAAATGCACTCTGCCTGAAGGTGTCCCAGGACAGTCTTTATAGAGACCCTCCCCACTCCATCTGGACTCTGCCCACCAACCCTGTGGTGGCTTCATGGAGGACAGGCCAGGGTGCAGTGGGGCTGGTCCGGTGGTGGTGGTGACACTGGCAGCAGCAGCTGGAGGGATCGCCGCCACTGGGGCTGCCAGGAAGTGGAATCTAGCAACCATGCCACCACAGGGGTAGTGGACTGGCTGCATATGCCACAGCCTGGGTTGGGCCCATGCCTGGGTCAGGCAGGGCCCAAGGAACCCACTGTGGGCCAAATAAAATCCCTAGGTGAGCCAGATTCACTCTGTGGGCTGTATTTTGCCCACCCCTGCCTTACACTGAGTTCTTAAGTCTATTTGTGGGCTGTTGGCATCAGAGTCTAACTTGGCTTCATCTTTCTTGATCCAGATTCTGGGCAGCTTTAGAAATGATGTATGCTAATTTAAAATCTCTCTTCAGTGTTTATTGAGTAATTAACATGACATATTTACTCACATACCACATACTTTCCTCCCAAAAATTAGCCTTCCAAAGTAGGTGTCTTAAGCACAGAAGCTGATTTTCATGGAGCACTATAAGACGGCTGCTGCTGCTTTTCTTTCTCTTCCCTCCAGCAGCTGCCTGGATGGAGTGATGGAGTCCAACAGGGTCAGATCCAAGGGTCTGCAATGGTGCAGTCACACCCTGTTTTGATTCCTGCTCCACCCAAAGTTTAAAACCAACTGCCCAGCAGCAGCAGTGGCATTTCTATTCAGGTAGTGCAAAGGGAGTTGATTGATTTTTATGACTCATCATAATCTATCTGTTTCCTGCTGATTTGCTCTTTATTCATTCCACAGTTGTTAATTACTCTCTCTTTTAAATGGTCTTGATGTTACGCTAATCAAGCCATCCATTTTGGCTGTACGTTAGGTACTCCTAGTCTCTTTCCTTCTATTTCACAGCCATGCAGACTGTTGGAGGTTTTTTTGTTTTTTTTTTTGCTTTTTCAAAATCCTAGATCATCAGTAGGAAAGGGAGAGTGAGCTGATAATTTAGGCTTTGTCTCTGCTCTGTGTGATCATAATTGGAAAAATCTTTTTTCCTTCATTTTGCTTCCCATAAACAAGGTGCATGTCTCATTTGGGAATTTGTGGTATGCAAGAAAATTGGTACTTGGCTATTGACTATGTCATGGAAGGATGAGCTTTTCAAATAAAAATACAGGAGCATTCTATATTACTCTCTTAAAACTAATTCACTTGTGTTCATCATTTATTGTAATACTAACAATGCTTTTATGCTGCCCACCTTGCTGCCATCGGTGCTGCAAATTCACAGTATGGTTTCTCTGTAGGGAAAATGGCACACTTGCAGACATTTGATGTGATTCCAATATATGGCTAATGACAAGTCCTTTCTAAAATGATTTTTTATAATAACCATATAATAAACAGTTGTTGTATAGTGCTATGCTAGTATAGACCTTCATATAGGGAATTACTTTAGCAACATAATACCTGGCCTGATTTTTTGGAAGAGCCAAAATCTCATTTGCCATCTGTTTTAAATGTGAATTGTATGATTTGTCTCCTCTGATAACCAAGTCAGTACTAAGAGTGGTACATCTTCCCCCTGTAAGCAGAGAGTAGATTAAAGACTGTCATTTATATTGTGTATATTAACCAAGCACTGCTTCCTCCCTAGTCTTTGCCATTCCGTACTGGAACTGTGGAGTAATACTTCAGCATTCATGCTCTTTTTTTCTTCCAGTTCCTGATTGGAGAAACAGGGAAACAAGACTTCTAGAAGAAAGGAAAAAAAGGAATTAAAAATGATCTAAAACAGTCTCTTCAATTACTCACAAGTGTTGCAGGGCAGAGAATTTTTGGGGACAGGGCAGCCATCCTGCCTGCTCCCTAAGATGAATGGGTGAGTTGCCAATATCAACCCCAAGTAAAAATGATACCATCCTCTGGCATAAGAAGGCAGCTGTGACTTCTCTCTTGCCAGTCTATGCTATCTCTAGCTAGGCAATTTTGGGGGATAACTACCTACTACAGGAAGTCTTCTGCCCAGTGTCCATCCAGTAGTTTTCTTGAATAGGGGGACTAAGGTACAGGTGCAAAACCTCTCTTCACCACATACTGTACCATGTTCTTAACCAAACTCCATGTGTTTGGTGGCTTTCACACTTTCTGGTAGTTCCTACAATTAGTTGCTAGATATTTAAATTGAAAATTATTAGCTTGAATATCTTGGCAGATTTCAACTGCCATGCCTTTACAGGTAGAGAAAAATATTTCTTCCAGAAATGTAGCTTCATAGGGCAACATCAGTACCTAAATTGCACTACTAAGCAAACATCATGGTTTTGAACAGTGTGGCTATCCCTGCCAAACAGAGGAAGATGCATGTTCTTATAGTAATTGTTGCCCAGTTGGCTTTCAAGGTTAACTCTGTATCAGTATATTGCATTAAACTTTTGGCCTCACGTAATGGTCACAGTGCTACAACGTTATCACTTTGGCCATATTCATAATTGGTGGATCTAATTAACCATCATAGTGTAGAGCAGGGGTTCCCAATGTTTATGTGCCCAAGGACACATTCAAATTTAAAAGAAAAAGCAGTGGGTGCCAGTATGACAGCATTTTTTTTGGAATAATGATTTTTACTGATTATGAAAATGTGTATAGGCACCTGAATAAACCTTGGGGGAGTGGGGTGCACCATGCCACTCATGGGCACTGCGTTGGAAACTGTTGGTGTAGAGTATGTCAGAGCGGGTTCCTTCAACAGCTTTCTTGACTCAGCTGGTGATCCCATCCCTTTGCCTAATGCAAGACAGGCATAGTCTTATCTTCCCCACCTGGGTCTGACCTTTGGACAAGAGACAAGTAAATAGAAACCAAGAGAGCAAGTATTTGGACTTGTGTCTTTTGCTAACTGATGTTAATAATTCTGAAATATTCAGAGTACCTTAAGCATTTTCTGATAACCGGTTGAAAGGTTGTACAAATTAGGTCTGGAATACAGATACTTAATGTAGGAGACTTCTTTCGTATTTACTGAGCCACATTACATCTCAATGCTTTCCAAACTTTTGCTTTTAGCCGTGGGGTGTATAAAGAGTCCTGTTCATGAATAAGTAATCCACTTGAACAGTTCTTGACAGATGAGACAATACAATCTTGTGGGAGTAGACAGGCATATGCATCTTTATGTAACAACATTTTAAATCCATTCATAGAAACTCACATCATGCCTTTTTACTATGGGACAGCCTTCCAAACCATTGTTAGTTTGTTTTCTGATATTTCTCAGTTTAAGATAATGAACTTATTTAGTTTCCCTTTGTTTTGCACACCTAAACTTGCATATGGAATTTAACTTTGTTCTGTAGTTTCTGATACTTTAAACATTTCATAAAATAATACATCCTAACTGTGTGTGTCTGTTGATAATTGTATCATTGCATTATTTAATATCTAAGGGTTGAGATGATTCTTTTGGCTTAATGAAAAGATGACATCTTGCTTTCTGTGGTTTTTGGCTGGGGCATCGCTATCTTAAGTGGTCACAAAGGCGGTGCCTTAGATGTTGGCCTGAGCTCTCTTCCACCAGAAATAATGCTGCTTGTCTTCTCTTTGCCGTAGGATGGGGAAAGAGGAGACATTAAACAAAGGATTACTTACCAGTAATTATGTTCGTTGTCATCTTCCCCCACATCTTTATCCTGTTTTCCTTTCCTATGTTGCATAGTCTTGTACAAAAAGAAACAAGATACTTGGTTTACATGGTCTTGTCTTGTGATTCCTTTTTTTCCATCTGCAGACATCTTTGCATCCTGATCAGAGGAGACATTTCATGTTGTTCTGACTGGTGGTATTTTAAAGAAAAAACATTATATATCTTGGAGGAAGAGGCTGCAATAATTACTGTCAGCTATTCATTCTTGATTTGACAGTTATGCATCATGTATGGCATTTTATGACACGTTCACAAAACCTTGTTTTATGTGGCATTTAATACTGAATGTATGTGGACTCAACCCACCCAATTCCAGTTGGTGACCTGATTTTGTTGACGTAACAATTCATTTATTTTTAGGTGGTGAAAACAGTTGGTCTACGTGAAGTTTGGTTTTTTGGGCTGCAGTATGTGGACAGCAAAGGCTATTCAACGTGGCTGAAGCTGAATAAAAAGGTTAGCTATTCTTAAATGTTCAAACAATTTCAATTTTAAGTTGGTTGTTTTCAGACTTGCAACAAATTCAGTAGACTTACTGTAATATTGGTACATTATAGTTGTGTCCATCTGAAATTTGGGTAAATTGCTGCTTTATGTTACAGACTGGTACAGTGGGGTGTATGTGCAGGTTAAATGGATTTAACTATAAACAAGCAGAATCATACTTCAGAGTGGTAGCAGCATATTTTGCCTCATCCCAGAACAAATCCTTCCCCTTCCATCTCCTTTCACCTTTATGGAAAAACCCTAGGTCACAGAAATTATGGGTGTAACAGACCTGCAGCCTCAAGTATATGATGCACTCATCTTTTGATGTATATTTTTTTGCTGTTTAGATAGTTTCTTTAGATTTCATATAACAATAAAGCAAATATAAATCAGAACATTTTAAAACATGAAGTTGGTCTGGAGAAATCCAGCTTGTTTCCAGTATTTAAAGCACCTGCTTGTCTGTGCTTTACAAATAGTCCCATGGAACTCATTGAATGAGCTCACTGGGAATATTCCCAGTAACATAAAATTAAGTGTGCACTGATGTGATTGCAAAATCAGGATCTCTTTCGCTTTTTTTCTTAACACTTATTGTGGATTGCTACAGTACTTGATGTTAAAGGGGTTTTTTTCCATCTATTTTTTCTCCTTTTCTATTGTTTAATAGCTTTCTTTATCTCAGTAATATTTAGTGTTGAAAATTTAAATAGGCCAAATTGCCTGGACAGCTACACAAAAATACAGATTTCTGGTAAAATGCTAGGCAAATTTCTAATTAAAATAAAGTAAATTTGGTGTAGAAAGATATGGCATAGTTAATGCAATAAGTTCATCACCTTCTAGCAAAAGATGAAGTGATGAACAAAGAATTTTAGGCTCCCTTATTTATAGTGGTAAGCCAAAGTCTAAAGTTTAATTTTTTTCCAGATATTTGAGCATGCCACAATTCTTGCTAAGAAACAGTTTTTGAAATCCCAGTGACATGAGGTGAATTACTTTCAGTAACTTATTCTTTTTATATTTGGTATATCATAAGAATCATGTTTTCAGATCTTCATTGTAGTAGGTAAAAATTAACACAAGTCTACAATAAGCTTTTAAATGAGACCTTTAAATTGCCTTTCAGAGCTGTCATGTTTGCCTAATTCGATGTAAATTATTCAGTGCCCTGTGAATTGCAAGTCATTTTTACAGTATGCTTGCCAGGGGGAGTTGGATTACAATGTGTAGTAGCTAGTGAATTTCTTGTTGCTAAAATAAATAACAAACTATTGCTTACTTTGCTTTCATGTCTACTTTTCTCCCATCTAGGTAACACAGCAAGATGTAAGGAAAGAAAATCCTCTCCAATTCAAGTTCAGGGCCAAGTTTTTTCCGGAGGATGTATCTGAGGAGTTAATTCAAGAAATAACTCAGAGACTGTTCTTTCTGCAAGTGAAAGAAGCTATTCTAAATGATGAAATCTACTGTCCACCTGAAACTGCAGTTCTACTGGCTTCTTATGCCGTCCAAGCAAAGTATGGTGATTACAATAAGGAGATTCATAAGCTAGGCTACTTGGCCAATGATAGACTTCTTCCCCAGCGGTAAGTGGGAGTGAAACTACTGCTGCTGCTTTGTAGATGCTACTTTAATTTGCTGGTAACACTATTTTTTTAGGTTTTTAAATTCCAAATGTCAGTTTATCTTTAAATCAGTACATGCTAGTTGCAGTTTTCTGGAGAGTGCATGTGTTGTCTAAAAGTTAGGATCTCCTACTTTTCTCCTAACTTGGACTTTGAGTAACGAAGAAGAGGCATCCCAGCTGTGATTCTCTTGAGAACTGTGTTTGAATGCCTCATTAGCTATGTCCTTTGATAATTCCACAGATTCAGTCAAGCGGCTGCTTTTGTTCCAATGAGGTAATACCTCTGGGGTGTATGGTCTCTTATTCTGAGCTAATATGCATGGTTTAATATTCCTTGCTCTCTTGTGGAATCATATCATCTGCTAAATTAAATATAGGAACCATTCAATTAGCAAGTTAATGTGGATTCCTCAATACCAATATTTTTCCTTCAGTTCTTGAAGCATCCTTGCTCTTTTGGGCGGGTGGGGGGGGAGTGTGGGAAGATACTATCTTAAACTATTTACAGATATGTATAACTTTAAAGAACTAACAAAAAATACACAAATAGGAAGAATGTTATTCTAAAAAAAAAGTGTTCCTCCCGTAGATATCCCACCTAAAAACTTAAGGCTTGTTAAGACCTTGGTGGCTGTACTGTTTTTGAAGTTGCTGATAGCATCATGTTTTCTCGTGCATCTTGACAGTGGAGGGAGTATTAGAGAATGAGTACCTGTAATCATAACACACAGTTCTGTTAGTATATTTTGTTAGGGCAGGTGGGACATACTTCTGTACCTACTACAATCATTAAGTAAATGTTTACTTGGTTATTTGATCAATGTAAATTAGATGCAATGAGATTTTTAAACAAATAACAGGAAAATTCTTTTAGTAAATAAAGACATACCAGTGACATTCTATTTAATATCTAGGTTTTTATAATAGAAATGGGATTGAGAAATTCAGTTAAAGAACATAGTACATTTGAAATCTCCTGTATTTACCCAAATCCAAGATGACTTCAAATTCAAAGATGACAGCCTAGTTAGACTCGATACATGGAAAACTATTAATTTGTTTATAATTTTCCATGTATAGAATCCAATCATTGGGCAGTCATCTTTAAATTTGTGCCCTCATTGCTGTAGTGGGGGCAAGGGGCAAGACCCTGCCTCTTGCCCTCCTGAGCCTATCCTACTGCCCAGGGTGTGCTGCTTACTCTCCTGCCTTTCCCTGCCTTCCCTCTGACCTATGCTTGTCCCTGCACATGTGGCCCTCCTGCTGCTTACCTTCCGCTGCGGCTCTTCTCTGTCTCCAGGATAGTCAAGGGGTGGCAGTGGACTCAGTTGGCTCCATCCCAGTCTGGCCAGGGAGAAGCATGGGAAACAGCTTCAGACCTGGCCAGGTGAGGGATAGAGTGGCTGATGGTAGAGCAGATGGTAAGCGGCCAGATGGGGGGCAGGCTGGAGAAAGGTGGGCCCTGTGCTCCCCACAAGCCACATACAGATGTCCCCAATATGCTTCCCTGACTGCGAGGACTCCCCTGTGTTCTCCTTCCATGAACCCCTCCCCTGGCAAATCGGCCACCCTGGCCTGGGGCCAGAATTAGCTCAGCTGAGGGTTTCACAGTAAACTTGGGGCCGAAGCCAGAGCTGAGCCACTGCCTGTCCCAAGCCAGTAGTCAAATCTAAGATAAGGCTTTCTTTTCCTCATGTTGGGGGGGAATCATCTTGAATTTGAGTAAATATAGTAATCAATTTTTTTAAAGGAATTTACAGTGATTTCAAGAACTATACTTGCTTCACAGCTACTCCATATTTTTGCAATCACACTTGCCTGCTAGTTGCTCCATATTTTTGTAATCCATATATTTTTGCAACCCCTCCCCCACCTATATCTTATTTTTTTCCTGTTCCTGTCTAAAAGACCTGCAACATTAAGAGAACTGTGATTCCACAAACACTTAAGCCCCTCAACTTTACTTACGTGAGTAGTCTCATAAATATTAACAGGATTGCATATGTTAGTAAAGTTACAGATTCCTTGTTTTTTTCCTATAGAGAGGAGAAGATGAAAGCAACCATATGAAATGTGTTGAGAAACACAAAATAAACAGGAGAGACTAGTTAAATTTTTGTTTTGCCAATCTCCTAGGTTTGGGCTTGTTACAACAATAGGTGGGAAAAGATTAAGACAGGAATATAACTTTTGTGTTTATGGTATTCCTGTAAGTATTTGAAATTGAAATTTTCAGTATGTAAAGAAAGTGTCTAGATCCCCTGAATATTTTGTTTTTATTAATAAATTTGAGACTATCAGCATTATAGATAAGATCGTATACTATTATTATACTAATCTGATTTTTCCTGTTAGAAAAGTATACCTTAAATGCTACATTGTGTGAATTTATTAATAATTTTTGTTTGGTGACTTTAGTTCTGTTTTTAAATTAGAAATTGTTTGTGCTCTTTTCTTACCTGATTTTGAATTATCAGTCCCATTTGAACTAATCTTCATTGCTAACACAAAAAAAGATTTAAAATAATGGCAGTGAAAATTGTTTAAAAATTGTTTCATAATCCAGGCTGAACCTGAAGTGAGAAGACTGAAGTTTTATTGTAATACTAGTGACATACCAGTCAAATCACAGGCATTTTACAGATTATATCTCATGGGTTCATATGAGAGATTATAGAAACCAAATTATAGGCTTGTTGCAGATGACCATGATGAATTTGGGTCCATTGTGTCTCCTGAACATGAAAAAGATGGTAGAAACATTAATATCATAGGACTGGATGGGACATCAGAAGGTCTAGTCCAGTGCTTTGCTCAAGGCAAGATCACCCCTGACTAAACTATGTCAGTCAAGTGTCTGTCTAGCCTGCTCTTGAAAATTTCTAGGATGGAGATTCCACATCATATCCCAGTACTGAATTTCCATTTTATAGTGAGGAAGTGTTTCCTAATCTATAACCTAGAACTTTTTTGATCGAGTTGGAGGCCATTGCTCTTAGTTCTTTCCCCAATGGCAAAAATGTCAAACTCACCTGAGGCCCTGGGCTGGATCTGAACTGTGGGGCACAGGGGCTGTCTCCACGAGCATCTGAGCAATGGTGTCCGGGGGCAGGGTGTCCATTGGTGGCAGTGGGTCCAGGGGGAGGGCTGTACTCTTTGCTGATACCCATAGACAGCAGGGCTCCCCTAATACTG